AAATGGCACAAAATATTTATTGCATGGAACTATAACTATAAAATTAATCAATACACATTAAAACCAAAAGAGTAATTTGCCTCAATTACTGTTTTTAGTGCATAGTTTGTATTTGGTACGGATAGACAGAATCATCCCATCATGCCACCAAGCAGGATCTACTCCACTTACCACCACATCAATAACTTAGGTAAGAAATTGATCTACTTCACTATTGTTTTAATTTTTAAGATGGCAAATGCAGTTTGAAAGCAGAAATAAGCAAATCAACCAAGCCAGGAATATAACCATGGAAATAAAGAAAGATGAGGAGCAGAGAATCACTGAATGCTATCAAGGTCTTCGTGGTTTTTGAGCAATAAATTATGTAGCAAGCCATACCCTGGCCTTATGGCTACTGATCATGGAAATTTCATACTCCAAAAGGAATAAAATTTTAGGAAGAATACATGCAAAAAAAAATCTCAACAGAGGAATAAAATGACTCAAAGGGTTTTCTGTCTCACAACCGTTGCTCTGGAGAAAAGGTATCTGTCTCCACTGAAATGGTACTTATTGCATATGCAATTACATATTCACAACTGCATTCAGGGATGAATAATATTATTCAGAAATGTTCAAGACATGCTGTGAAGCTCTAAGAATTAGGTTTTAAGAAAAGTAAAAATGATCTTCAAAAGACACTGCAAGGTCACTGGAGTTTAGATGCAATCAGTATCTTCTGTCTAGCTGCTCAAAAGTTTGCTTGATTTCTAACATACATACTCCAGAGGTATGACTTTTTTTCTACACTAGCTTAACACTTAGAATAGATCTACATGGAACAACATTTATTTATTCATTCATTCATATACACGCACATATGTAAAATAAATTTTACCACTGAAAAGCCTCATGATCCTAAATTTGTGAGAAGAAGAGTTGGCAGATAACATGCATCACAGGATTAAGCCCCAGTGCATTTTAAACCCTCTGTATTCTCTATTCCAAGTCATTAACTGCAGAAGCAAACACCCTTCCCAGCAGGTTTCAGAGCCACCAAATCTGCTTCCACTGTCTTTACCTAAGACAGCGTAGGGCAGCACTTCTGTCACTGTTTAGCAATCTAAACCTCAGCTATTTGTATGAGTTCTCTGTTCAGGGCACTCTTGCAAGCCTTCAAAATAACGTAGTCAGTTTTGCAAAATCCTTTTGGTAATTTCCACTCTAATGCTGGACACAGGAAGAAATTTCAGCTTCCAAAGCACCATTAGAATAATCAAATCATGTGCAAACTAGAAAGACATTAATGGTATATTTCTGGTATAATAAGGAACATAATTACATCCATCCACTGTGTGAATGAGATTTAAAAACCCAAACAAATGAACAACAAAAGCTTTTAAAAGTTTGGCTAATAAATATCCATATGGCTTTTTTTTTTTTCCAAGTTCAGTTGAAAAATTCAGACTTAAGGCTGGCAGAGCTGAAGTGATATACCTGAACCATGGAGAAGCACAGCCTGACAGTACCATGTAATATAGCTCCTCAGAAAATTTATTATGGCAGAGAAAGGATGGTAGGTAAGAGAAAAGCAAGCCATTTGTGCTAATCAAGGAACTCATGTGTTTTGAGAAGAGTGAGGCAGAACAGAAGCAAGGCTTTTTCCATAATACCACCTCCATGACCTCCCTTGGCAGATTATTCCATTGTCTGATGGGACCTCAGTGTTTTACCATTTTCCCTAACGACTTTACTGGTTTAGTGTCATCACTTTACATTGCCTGGAGCTCATTTGAACACATCTTATGTACTGTTTTATTTTGAAAGTGTTTATGATATAATCATAAATATTCCCCCCTTAGTCATCTTACTGGTTGGTCAGAAAATAGAAGACTACCTGTGCAAATATATGCATTCTTGTATGTGCATACAAAACTCAATTTAAATGCACAGATGACTATATATGCAAGGTACACTTTTTTTCCAACACTCCCATATCACATGCAAGAATGTCTATTTTCTGACTAATAATCTGGCCTCTCTTTTCATAGATCTTTTCACAGAACTCGGCCCTCCTCAACACAAGATTAAAATGTTTTTAATCCTCTCTTAACATTAAAGTCACTTTTAAATAATCAACAGCCCTTTATTAATACTAAAAGATGTTAAAAACCATAAAACATTCCAAACACAGGTATTAGTTATGGTTTTTTCCACAGTCATTCCACTGCTATGGAAGAGTTACATTTGTTAATCTGAATCAACGAATCTCAAAGCTATACCCACAACTGAATTTACAGAAGAATTCTCTATGAAGATTTTAAAGTAAATCATATTTCATTAGTGTTCACCTTCTTCCCTCTTCTCACAATTTTTCAAAGTGACTGCAATCTGGTCTACTTGGCAAGTATACAAAACTGCCTTTATAGCGCTTGAAATTTACTGCCCTAAATTTCTTTGCCATTTCTGAAGTTGTATAATTAATAATTACATTTCATTTGTGTGAACTTTCTCTACAGCCTAGATCTATATCACATCTAACCTTTCAATTAATACATTATTCAGTTTTAAGAGGACAAATAAAAATTTCAGGTATGACCTTGCTCAAGGATTGCTATACAACAATAAAATCCAAACAACTGTAAAATTTATACACGTGGCACAAAATAGCTGATGGATCATAAACATGAATCATAAATATATAAGGTATGCTCAAAATTATCAGTAAAAGCTGATAGGACCCAGTCACTGGGGAAGATACCTTAGAGAGTGCAGACTAACAACATGAAAATAATAAGAGATGCTTGTAACACTGAGTACATAATCCAAGCATACAGAACTACTGGACTGCAGGAATCAAATCTTATAGAATAAAGAAAGTTGGTAGATACAACATAGAATTAGTATGAAAATCCAACATTAGAGAAGTAGCCTAAAGAAAAATGACCAGAAGTGTAAATAAGGATGTATAAAATCACCCAAACAATTATTAAGGAGCAAAGAGATGTCCTCAAATTATAAAAATTTCAGACTACTCTGAAATAATCTGCAATCACTACTGAAACTGAACTATTCAACTAAAATACCACTGAAGAAAGCAGAAAAGACAAAAAGGAACAAAACAACAGGAATTAATGGAATAGGATTGGCTTTACCATATAACAACAGTGAAATAATTACCAGAAAGAGAAAGAAAGCCCACTGAGAAGGCAGAAGACATTTACATCAGCAATGAATAAAAACACCTGATATATGAAATGCCTCCTGACTTTTAAGGACTGCCACAGTGGGCGTACTTACAAAAATAATAAAAGCTTCATAAAAACACCTATCGTCATAGGGACCGTGCAGCTTGATCATGAAAGGAAAACAGCCAATAAACAGACTAGATGAAAGGAAACTGGAAATTAGATGCAGGCATAAAGTGAAAATAATTTTGCAATCATGACTTAAAATTCTGAAGAATATTGAGGAAAGCAACAAAAATTAAGGTGAGATGAAAGGCCAAATTCTTGTGAAAACAAGAAAACAGCTACACAAATGCAACTCAGCTGAACACAGACTTTGCTCAACTGCCGCTGAGAGCTCTGGAACCTGGCTGGAAAACAACCAGAGTACTAAATAGGCTTCAGAAAGGTACTAAAGGAGTTAATTTAGGGTTTACACTTCCTTCAGCAGTGCAGGGGCATGTACATCAGCTCAGGCAGCAGCTGCAAGCTTGCCACCCCTCCAGAGAGGAGCTGGGCAGCAGGGCAAGGGACTGGCTGCACCCCCAGGGTGGGGCTGGCTCAGGCCAGCTCCGCCTGCACGTTGGGCATTGTAAGGTTCCCATTCTCCAAGACATTAAGAAAACTTTCCTCATGTGACGACACTGTACCTTACTATTACTCCTAGAAAGGCTTCATAAGGGCTTTCAACCACAGCTGTCAATCCCTTTGGGTTTTATCTGCACAGCTACAGAGAGAAAGAGGGAGATTTCCCCAAGAGTGGACTCAGAGGAGCTGCCTCAGGCTCCTGTTCTGGACGGTCAGCTCCACATTCACCATCTACACAAGGAATTTGGGGAAATGCAACTCACTGGACTCAAAGTAAAGGCATTACACGTAAAATATGGCGATTCTTCAAAAACAGAGGAGACTTCCTCACCTCTGAACTTAATTCAGCATTCAGAGTTGAGACCTAGGGTTTTTATTTTGCTCATTTGTTTTGCTTTTTGGGTTTTTTAATACCTTTGTAAACTATCTAAAGAAAGAAACAAACGAGAACTTTGACCACGTTCACAGGCAAATCAAACACTGTAATTAGGAACGTGCGAAATTAAAAGGTGCAAATCAGTCTCAGAGGATTTAGCCTCTTGCAGAGTGTAAGCACAGAAGTAGCCACATGCATTCTATGACATCTGGTTAGTTGTAAGTATTTTCATCCAGAGAAAAACCAGAATAAAATATTTTTGCATGGCTTTTATTTTCTGCAGGTGGGGCTGTTCTTAACAGATTTTTGTTTCTTTAAAATAGAAATACTTGGTTATTATCCAGGAATATGTTAGTACATAGATTTGTCTAATCATAATATGTGTTTCTTTTCCCCAATAAGCTGTTTTTTCAAGTTTCTTTACTTAAAATATTATTCCTTATAAATTCTTTTCTGTGTTTTACTACAAAATCCAGTGGCCATCAGCAACACAGAACTGTAAAGAGTTCACACAGAAAGTATAGACAGTATATATCAACTGCAATCATCTTTTCTGGCTATGGCATCTTTGGGAACACAGAATATAATTACAAAGGTGCTTTGAACTCTCTCACAGTTTATGTGGATGAACATTTCTGTGTGCATTACAATTATTCCTGACACTTACCTTCACAGAAGCAATGACAAAGAAATCTTCTCAGTGCCATTTTTATGTTACTATTTCAGCCCTCAAAACATTGCATCAGGTAATCTCATTTCTCAGAAAAGCCAACAAGTAGAATTGCCAAACCAAGTTTTCTCTGAATGTTATACAAACTGTTACTTACAATCCGAGGTTTGAAGGGTGGCTTGATTTTCCTTTGTTCTAGAAGAACCCAATCAATTTCCTTGAAAAATGGATGCTGCTTAATCGCATCTTCCCCGTTCTGTGACGCCACACAACCAAGTCGCTTGTTGGGATTTTTTGTCATGAACTACAGGGTGGAGAGGGAAAGGAGGGAAAAGTTAAAATATGAATGGCAATACCTGGAAATCATTTGCTGTTCAATTACACACAGTAATTCTTAAAGCCAAGTTTTTAAAGATAGTCCCCTTTCAGAAGGTTATTTCATCTGGCACTCCATATTTCAGAGGTTTCAGCCAAACCATAGGATTCAGAGACTCCAAACTGTGAATTTATTGCAGGAAACCCTTTCACTTTATTGTTGAGACCTCTTAATTTCATCTGACTGGGAGTGTTAAAGGACTAGATTCTCTTTCAGCATATCTACTTCCAACTTCAGCCAAAAATACTAAAGGAAAGAAAGACAATCTTAAACCCTCCAGAGACAGAGTGACCAGTACCTGCAGAAAGCTTCACTTGAGAATGGGAAGTTATGTCCCATGACAGAACTCACACATTCTCTTTCATTTTTAGTACATGATTAGTATCAGTGACTGGAACTAATTGGTCTCTTCTGATGTGGTAATTTATAAACTTCTCATGTTTAAACTATTACTATTCCTGTCAGAAAAAAGCTGTACAAGTGGCATAAGACAGTGATATCAAGTGATGGCAGCTCTTAATACTTTACCTGATTTTTCTCTGTTATTTTTCCTTTTTTTTATTAATAATTGCTCTACTAATTTCCTAATTTGTGTGGACACAGAATCCTTGCAATTCAAGTAGCAATGAATGCTGTTCTTATAAATACAATCACATTATAGAATTAGCTCAATAGCATTGCTATAACTTCATATTCAGCCATTATATAACATTTTTAAATTTAGAAAAAGTGTACAAAGTAAAAAAAAATGTAATAATTGTTCAGTGCCTTTTCAACTTATGTATCACATTATACTACACTTCTGTAGAAAAAAAAACAAACCATAGGATAAAATAAATTACTGTAATGCATGCCCTTGCTTTAGTACTCCAGTTATTAGGCAAGTAGCTACTTAAGCCCTTAGAATGGTTTTAGATTTCTAGATCAACTATCCACAGAAAACCCTTGCTGTCATTTTAAAGGTATAACATAGATCACCAAGGCAATTCTGTTTGTGGTCTCTGACATACACACGCCGTTCTGAAGATGATCCTTCTCTTTGGTCTTGATTTCAACTGCTCTGCAAGTTCTTTTGCAAGTGGGCAAGTCATATCTAAACTACAGGCAATTTTTTCTATGAGCAGGAGAAATAAAGGTTTTGAAAGGATTACTGTGCTTTGGTGAGGTCTCTTGAAAACCCACAAAATGCATTCCTACATTCCTCTGCTTTATTTAATCTCCAGGACTGGAGTGAACAGGCCAGAAACTGGTAGCCACATGTATTGCAGAAACAGAACATGGAAACTACAGGATGCACTTTTTGTACCATATAATCCAGGTATCAAAGAAGTAAAATATGACCCTAGTATCTGCCATGCTTTATCTTTATTTTAAACTGGAGACAGGGAAAGCATCTGGACACGTAACTTTTTAGGAAGCCCAGGACATGACAATGTGATTAGACAGTCCAGTTTAGTGCTGTACTTCAAAAACTTCATGAAACTGTGAAATGGATGATGAAAGAGAATGTATTTTAAAAATGAGCGCTTAAACAAAAATATCACATGCATATATGAAGCAAAAATATCAAACTTCTAAGCAGACATTTAATTGCATTAATTTAATCCCTTTCTATTTCTGAAACAAAAGCCGACATTTATTCCCTGTTTTTCACCAGCATCAACACTGATGCAACTGGCAGGACAGACACAGCTGTTAACTGCACTCTGCTGAAGAGATGGTTGCAAATGGAGCTGACAGCCATAGCCATAAAACTTTCATGGCTAAGGCAGGAACCTCCATTTCTGAAAGAAGAAGCCTTTTAGGATCAGCATTCCTACTGACTTAAGTGCTAACAGGACAAAATGCTGCTTGAGGCCTGAATCAAGGATCATTAGGCTCCCCAAATTTTGCTTCTTGAAATAAATCACACAGCTTAAAAACAGAGTTCCGCTTCTGTAGCCAGAGACTGTCATCCCAGTACACAAGGAACACACACTGTAGAGACATTATCTCTCCACTGCTTGGGAAGAAGCAGAGAGCCAATTTCAATGAAGAATTGTTTTCTTTACTACACAGGAAAGAATTTAAATAGCAATTCCTGTCAATTCACAGAAACAGGACTAATAAGATGTGTGGATTTTCATGAGATAAGCAACACGCTGCCTTGTAATACTGAGCTTTAATATCGTCCTCAGTGTTTTGATGGAAATAACAGGAAAACTGTTTCTTCAGAAAATAGGACAACGTCGCTTAATACAAGAGAATGTTCTTATTAAACTTTCCTTACATGGTGTTTGAAGGACTGTAAAAATACACAGTTTCAAAAGAATAAAATTCATGTGTCAAAGCACAATGTGAGGAAATGAAGTGCTCCAAAGTTAATCCCTTGCTACCATTCAGCAGTAAAATACATAGACGCCTCTTTCTTTCTGCTGTTTTTCCTGTTCTTCATATGGGCGAGTATCAGATGAAGAACACAAGTTTCAAGCAGGTTTCACACCATACATTCGTAGGCAGCAGGTTGCTAATCCTAAGGAAATGTGTTCTATTTATGGTGTAAATTGCTACAGCTCCATTAAATTGTATAAATTTATGCCCAAAAGGCTATGACTACAGCAAGATACAAGTCACCATTCCTACTATCAAAATGTAGATCCAGGAAAACAGTCTCAGAAAATTCTGTAAAAAAGTCAGCTTTAAAAGAAAATTCCCAGGACTCCAATGAAAATCAGATGTAGGTATGAAAACTGACAACAACCCTTACTTAACAATGTGCCAAAATAACCCCTGAGCCCTGGATATAAGCCCAAATTCTGCAGCTCAAGTCCATATATTTTAATTGCTGAAGCAAAATAATCAAAGGGTCTGGAAACAGAAATGGATGCATGAAAGTATCATGTGAGCTAACAAACATAGTCAGAAAGCTATATGGGGGAGAAGGGAGAAATTACTACCAGCAGTAAAAAATCCTCCATCTTCTCACTACAGTGAATGTAGCAAAAGAGATACTTCAGCAAACACTTCTGAGAGGTTAACTTTGACTTCTGCTTTGAATCATTGCTAGAGCATCTCTCTTGCTCAGCTAGGAGAGCCTGAAGACATTTTCATTAAAAGGTCAAGACGAGAATTTCTGCAGAATGTGCTGTCCACTGGTGTTAAAATCACAATTTGTTTATGTTTTATACACAATTTCAAAATAACCCTGTATGAAGATCTCTGCAGGATTTTACATTATCAGCTGCCTTATTAATTGAAAGTCTCCCTTACTCCAGATGCTGAAAGAAAATTATATAGAAAGGCAGAAATTTTCCAGTTTCAAAGATGGTGGAAAAATGGAATAAATAATAACCAAGTTAATTTTTTAAGCCAAAAATCCTTCTTGGGTTTTTGCCAATTATGGGGATTGGCACACTGCTTCTGTATTGTTTTGCTTTCAGTTTTAGGATGACATTAGCACAGAAGAAAGAATTTATGTCAGTGCCATTCATAGTAATGAATGACTTTATAAACCTGACTTTATAAAGACAGTTTAAAAACTGAATTTGCCCAGTGGTACATACTGGCTGATTAAAAAAATTGTGGCATTTGGTGACACAAGTTGCTGTCAAGTCACCACTCATACTGAAAAATCCCAACGAGAACAGAAACAATCACCCCAAAGTAAGACTGCTTATCATGTGAACTATAAAATAGAACATGCAGCTGTAAATAAAGGGCTTTCAACCCATCTTGATGACAGGGGAAAACAGCAAATAGACAGGAAATTTTGTAAGCGGGTTAAATAAAAAACATTGTTTCTTTAACTATGTAGTGCTTCTCCCACTCTAGTGATGGGAGTATAAGGCATATAAAGTGTCAAAGTGATAGCACAGTTCTAGCTGGTTGGGTTTTCCCTGAAACATGAATCTGCAGTACACAGATTTATACAGTGTACAACTGCATGGAATACAAACATTCTGTTCCTTTCCCACAAGCGGTGTAATTTATCCAAGGCCCCATTATCCTAACAGTGGCACTTTGAACTGTGCTTGAACTCCCAGTGGTGACTGCTCTCAACAACTTTCAACAAATTCAATTTTAATCAAGGAAAAAACCCAACAAACCAACCCCCCAGAAACCCACGAGGAGGAGGAGGAGGAAGGCAAGTAATGGAAGACTCACTGCTTTTAAAATGCTGACAGCCTCTTTACTGAGCCAGACTGGATACAATACATCATCATGAAGGATGGATTCAAAGAGATCATCTTCATTGTCAGCTTCAAAGGGGGGTTGTCCAGCCATCATTTCGTACATGAGAACACCCAGAGCCCACCAGTCCACGGATGGACCGTATTCTAGCTCCTGGAGGATCTAGCATAGAAAAAGAGATTGGATTGAAGAGACAAGCGAGGCAACTGTCTCAGCTGCACTTTTGCTGTTTCAACATGATATAGCCCTTCTATAGGGGCTAAGCAGGACTGAATCACATGCTGATTTCAGTAACAGCAGGCAGGGTTTCTCACCCAGGCAATTTGCACTAACACAGCTAAGTGTCAATGAGATGTTGTTCTCAGAAGTACTGAGAGTTTATCAGTCCCCTGAGTAAATGACTATGCTTGTGAGCAAAAGAGCTGCATATCCTTCCAAGCTGTTTAAAGCAGGTCACACTATAGGGGAAAAAAGTTCACATATACAAAACAGACTGGTGGAAAATGTGAAACATTTCCTCGTCTCTATCTTGAACAAAACAAACTGAACGAGCTTCTAATGCTGCACAGAGATCATCTGAGAGATTTATTCTTGTCTTTTAGGTAGGGTTGAAGGAAGCCAAAAGCATTTTTGTTCAAGTTCCTTTTACAGCATTAAACCGCTGTACAATACATGGCTATAGAATTCACTTTAATTGCACTTGCTTTCAGGAAAAACTGGCTACAACTTCTCATGTGGCACAAGTTCAACCTTGTAGCAAATACCTTTAGCGGGAAGTAATAGTTTAGCACGATGGAGTTTTATAGTAGCAATTGGTGTTACAGAACTACTGTTGTACCAGGAACAAGTTTAATTCTTGTCTCCTTTTCACTGGAAAGAAGCTTGCAATTTGGCCGCATTATTTCAGCACGACAGGGAACCAGGGAAAGGGGAGTGGGTGCCTGCTTAAGGTGAAGCTGGCTGCCTTAAAATGCCTTGGAATGGCAACAAATCCACCAGCTCCTTACACAACACTGCACAGTGCAGTGAGAAATCCTGTGGTGAAATGCTTAGGCTTAGTGCTGTAGCTGGGAATCAAGACCAATATAAAACCAAATTCAGTCTTAGCATAAAAACAGAAATGAGTTTAACATTTGGATATACAGGTGTGGATCCCATCCACAGTCCTCATTGAAAGAAACTGATATTTTATAGCCATCAAATACAGAAAATAAGATGTATACTATTCATGTCTTGTGGGAAGTCTTTGGAAATCAGATACTACTAAAGAAAAGGAAATTAAAACGTATCACCATTATGCAAGATAAATAGAAGCAGGAACTAAACTTCTGCAATTAAGATGACAAATTGGAAGCCTCAGTAAAAGTTCCTGGGTTCTTACTGCTTTATTTTCGGTAATAATTTTCAAAGAATTTGTCAAAGGACTCACTTAGTATACTGAATCAGAAAAAAATTCATACATAGCCCAAACTACTACACTGGTATTTATTTTCTTTTAATGCTGGAATACTTTTCAGACTCCGTAAGACATACACTTATGTAATGATAGCTTGAAGATGATTCACACCTTATCCGTTGTGCTACTTAACGTGGACAGCCATGAACACTAACAATATGGATTTATGATTTATTGCCTCTAATGAATAATAAATAACATTTTTCCTCACTGTAAATTTATGTTTGATGAAAGACAAATCAACAACACCTTTCCATTAAACCTGCACACTGAACATTCAAGTGGAAAGATGCACAGATTACTAATTCAACTGAGCAGACAAAGTCTGCCTAGCAGAATAACTGTTCAATATTGGCTCTCAATTTTAGGCACTTTGAAATACACCTCATAATATTAAAATATAGGATATTTAAAAAACCACACTACTCTCAGCTATTTATTTTATCCAATGAACACCTTGAAATGTTGTCAACTAATATGCAGCATCTAGTATGCAGCATCTAGTATGCAGCATCTAGCATCTAATATGCAGTATCTAGTTTCCATCTTTCTGTGCAAGTCTATGAAGTAGCACAGGCATAGTATCTTTTACTCACAGATATTTTAAAGAAAGGAAAAAAAATTATATTCCCACAAAGACTGTAGTCAAAATAATACCAAACACATGGCTTCTTCTGTATGAAGATGTTCTTTTAAACCTCACTAAAAAATAAAAACATTTTTATAACTACTGAAGACTACTAAGACTTCAATACTCAGTTGCATCTAGCACCTTAAAGACTACTAAAAATCATCATAATGATGCTGATTCAGAAATGAGCAAATTGAGAAGAATAACTAATTTCAAGAAACAAATACCAGAAAAACCACTCCTACCATCAAGGAATAGTGTTTGTGAGCAGTGGAGTAACCATTTTCTGCAAGACTACCTAAGCACAACTGCAGCAGAGACTAGTCTGCATCTTAAATATTTTCATATCCATGTAAAGAGTGTCTAAAATTACACATGTAACAGTCTGATGAATATCTGAACTCTTAGTGCACTGTCAAAAAATACCTCTGGAGCTATGTAGTCAGGTGTGCCACAAAACGTCGTGGTGGTCACTCCATTTAGAATCCCTTCTTTGCACATCCCAAAGTCAGCCAGTTTACAGTGGCCTTCTGCATCCAGAAGAATATTGTCCAGTTTCAGGTCCCTGAAATACAAAGGTCTCAAATTAAATCAACTCTCAAATTTTGATCATGTTCTCTTGAATTTCATAATAAACTACAGAATTTGACAAATAAATGGTTTCCCAAACACCACTGAGAAACTGTCCTTCACTGTGTGTGCATGAAAAGTTGGTAGCAGTCACTAAATAAACCTAGTTAAAGGCAATAAAATAAAGAAGCAGGCAATTACCAGCATTTTGTAAGACTAAGCTTTTACTCTCTTTAGCTGCATGAAAGCACAGCTTTTATGTATTCAAGGCAGCACCAGAAAAGTTTGGGAAAGATCTCAGTTTCTTGTTTCCTACAGATCTATCATTCTGTCAGTGTGAAATAGGTCATTGAAGTCATTCTCTATTTTTTCCATTAGCACTAAGCAAGGAGTACCAATTTATCCATACTCTAGCATATAGGTTCAGTGAGTAGGTATTTTCAAACTTGGATTACTCTGAATTTGATTCTTAATGTATAGTAGCAATTCAAAGTTCAGATTGCAATGAGAAGGATGAAAAACAACATTCCCATCCTTGGGAGCACTGTTTTCTGTAGCTTAAGCCTGCTCAAAAATAATTTCACAGGAATATTTTGCATTCATTGTTAAACAACATAACTTAGTAGCTGTTTCTGATCATACAAATGTCTTTGTGACAAAACCACACAATTGTCTGCTTATAAAATTGGGTCAGGTCACAAAAAGGTTGAGAAAAGGATATCCACCTTTCCTGTCTTGCCCTCTGCACATTTTCTAAATATACTGTTGATGGTTAATACATGCTCCAACACAATAGATGCTAGGTACCATTTAACTTACCTGCCACTAGCCTTAGACTTAATAACAAAAGGATCTGGAAAGTCAGTGCATAAAAGATTTCTCATCTGTATGAACAGCTCCCTCCCCCCCCACCAAGGAAAACCTCTTCATCATGTAGATATAATAACATAAATATAAAACAAAGGCAAAATAATCCCACTTATATTGCATGTGTATAAAAAGAACATTTGCTTTTTATATTTCTGTCTAGGCTTTTAGGTATCTCTGACATATATTAAAGATACATAGTATATTTAGATATAAAATAGATACATATATATATGTATATATATATAATATATATATATAGTATTGTATGTATGAATGCATAGAGAGGTGAGAAGCAGAATACATGTCTTTAGGTGACTTTGTCAACACTTTCTGATCAGAATTCTTTTTCCTGGAATAATTACATGAATTTCCTTAGGTTGAATTGATGAAAAAAAAAATAGTGTGTGTGTAGGCAAGTTCTAAATCAGAGAAGAAGAAAAAAATCCCATGCCAGCCTCTGTAAATGAATTTCACCCCAAAAGCCTATGAAAAGATGAGGGTTTTTTTGCAAAAATCCATTATGCCAACAAATTTGACCTGAGTGAGAGATGAGAAGACTTCACATTACTCAGATAATTTCTTCCAGAGAAATTTCTCCTTGTCAGATCCCAGCCTTCAGAACTACAGGCACCAAACATGGTGGAAGCATTTATGCACATTAATTGATTAAACAGCCCTTCCAAGGCTGCAGTACGTTAAAGAGTTTTTGTAGATGCGTCCAAGGCTACAGTATGCTGGGATTTCCCCAGAAACGGTCTTTTCTGCTTTGCACACCAATTTCAGTAGATGGATTTTAGTTTGTTGGGTTTTTTTTTCTTTTGACACTTGTTAAATGTTTTTTAACATGCTGGCCCATACGTTCCTCAAGCAGGTACACGGGCCAACATAAAAACCAGCTGTTTCTGGGACACAGTGGACTTGCTACTCAAGGTCTGCATAATCATTGCACATCTGCCATGATGCATCCACAAATCAGATACTGGGAAGCACTGCAGAACTTACTGCGCGTGTAGAGATAGGTTGTGTTACGTACATGTTACAAAGAGGTTTGTGTGTGTAAAACAAGTCTAAAACAGCAAGTCTAAAACAAGAGTAAAACAGCAAAGTCATATTTACCTCAGTAACAGTAAAAGCACTCTCTCCTACATAAACTAGCATTGTCAGATATGGTTTGTGTGGCTGAAGTATACTCTGGCTGTAGAAATGTTTATTGCAATCAATATCCCCTACATCACACTTGGCTATCTCTGGATCAGCTAGGCTGCTCTCGCAGGTCCTCAGTGGTCACCCAGGTATGGCCCCTTGGAGCAGACTGCATATTTTATCCTTCCTTAAGGTCATTCATTTCAGCAGTTCCTAAACAATCCAAGATCCAGCTGGCTGCCACAAAGCCCCCTACGTATAACCATTTAAACCCTCAAGTAACCACCTCTTCCTACCTCTGGAAAGTGATTCGCCAGAATTGTCCAACATAATGCCAGGGCAAACAGATATCAACAGCTCTGTGTCCCTGCCACAAGAAGTCAAAGAAACAAGGCAAAGCACCCTGTTTCAAAAATCACGTGCCTTCCCAAAACTGCTCCTTCTGTGAATTACAAGTGCTACAATAAAAAGATCTGCATTCAAACAGGACTATAGCAACATCAAATAGAATGTGATCATCAGGGTAAGGCTCTTGCAGATTGAAGAAGGAAACAAGATTGTAGCTGTAGCTTTTAACTTTCCAAGTGGAATGTTATCTTGGATGTTCCTTAACTAAGGAAGAATACAAGCCATATTTCAAGAAGTCAAGATGTTCAGATAAAGAAATCAAAGGATAATTATATTTGATGTAATCTTGGAACCATTTACAGCCACCATCACAACAGACTGTTAGAAAGAAAGTCATAATACATATAATTATGATAGGAACTGAAGAAATTCGAGAGGCTGCTTAGAAAAATGGATCCACTTTATTAAATGTTTCAAGTATTAAGTGTTTATGAGAAGACTCTAAAATTATGTCTTAACTCTGATTGCAGGACTTCCCCGTGCAGGAAGGTGATGCACTGGATTGTCAGGACCTAAAATCATTTAACTTTAATTTAATGCCATCCATATGGTAGCCATGAACTTGAATGGAGATATAGTCAATAATCCAGGAAACTCCTAAGCTAAGGCAAACCTCAAGAGCAATAATACATCACATAATGGATAAAGACAAGTTACTCACCATTCTCTTTATTTCCTTAAGGATTTTTTAAGACACAGAAATTAGCAATAAAAATTTAACTTGACAGTGGAAAAACAGAATAAACAAACTGAGCCAAGAAAAAACTAGGAAGAGTCTAATTATTAAATTCTGACTACCTGTAAAGAGTGACAATGAAATTTTAAGCCTAACTGTAAAAGCACAAGTCAATTTAACTTTTTTACCATTTACCAAACTATAATCTTACTTGACAGAAGAAAAACATCTGGGACCCCTTTATCAATCCAAAACAATGCAGTGAAGTCTTTAAGCCTCTTCGAAACTCTACTGAAGGCACTGAGGGGATCAGCTTCATTACTCACGCAATAATGAAACGTAATACCAGTAGATTTGTGTTATCACAAAGTGCACCAGAGTTTCAAAAGAAATTTGGAAGAGGCTAAAACAACAGCAGTATGACTCCTGTCAAAGTACATATGGGAGGTTAAAAGGTAAGCTGGGAGTCTGCCAAAGTGCCAAATTCATGGCTAGCCCACATGATTGTCATCGTCCATAAAAGTGCTTGCACCAAAAATCATTCTGTCAGTTTACAGTTGCCAGATTAAAAAAAAAAAAAAAAAAGCCAGAAAAAACCTCCCCAAACCAAGAAACCTCACCAAATCCCTCTAATTCTGCAACTTTTGAAAAAGAAATCTTAGTTAACTAAATTGATATGAGAGTAGGAATAGATAATGTGCTATTTAATACCTCACAGCAACAAAAACCCCAACAACCAAAACATGCAGAGAAAAGGAAACAAATGAAAAAGTAAGAGAAAAAGAGTTGTCAGGAGAGCTTGTCTTTCCAGAGCAGCAGCCTCACTGAAAAAAATTAAAACTTTAACTTTTAGACCTGTATTTCCCCAGAACCATTCCAAGAAACAACCAGTTCCCCTACTCCAAAAGTAAAGTACACAGCCATATCTGGAATGTAAAACAATCTTCTGTACAGATTGTTCCATTCTGATCTATTCTGTCTTTTATTTCTTTCCTGGATTTAGTGCCAGTTGTCTACCTCTGAATCAGAACATACCAAATAATACAGTGTCAGATAGCTCAATGACAAAGGTCTGTTAAATTCTTATTTTTCTCATTTTGCATTCTCTTTGTAGCAAGTAAGAAAGTCATCTGTGTCTGACTAAATGAGTTCCTACAACCTGAGTAATTAATTACACGCAACTGCAAACAACCTAACCAGTTAAGCCGGGAGAATGCTCAGATTTCTTGAATGCAGCAATGCTACATTAAGCTGTTTCTCTCCTTTGTTTTTTTTTGCCAAGATACTTTGTAGAGTCACTTCAGTTGACTTGAGCAGTCATTGCATGAAATGTTGTGGGTCGGTTTATTTTCCTTTTCTTTTTTTTGGAAGGGGGACAGGTTTTGTTCTGAGAAAGCTTTAAACAGAAATTTAAGCCTCAGTCTTCTGCATACCTGCCAGCATCACAATCACCTCAGAAGCTGGAATGACTGGCAGTGTCTCAAGAAAGAATCAGGATTATGAGTTATGTTTGTGCAAGTTGGAACAGAAGAGCAGGCTGACTACAGGTAATCTGTGCGACAACTTCTGTAACCCTCACTTCTTCCTCCACACACGAGTGCCATGAGACACTGAGTGCCTTGGCTTCCTCCAAAGGCTCAGTAGATGAGTATTTCACAGGACTGGGTTCTTACAGTCCGAATCCCACCAGCAGCCAGAGATAAGCATCTTGCGTGAGTGGCACTGTGTGTCACAAGTGTCATTTAGATAACACACAATTTTCTTGTTGAAAGTAATGCAGTTAAACAATCAAGATGGGTTTGGACCAGTAAAATCAGAAAGTCTGCCAAACATTACTAACAGTAGCCTTTCAACACAGTAAACAGCAGTGACTAAATAAATACATATTTGAAGAACAA